CTTTTCGAAAATATCATTCTTTCTATTTAAAACGATACTAAAGCAAATAACAAGCTTTTTCTGATATCAAAAGATTTTTACGATATAGAATAAATAATATATCCTATGCAAAGTTACAGACAATAAATAAAATTCAAGGTGTGGCATGGTTATAATACAATTGATATTTGTTCGGACAATAATCTGTTACGCAGCTTCTTAGCATTTTACATAATTCTATTATTCCACTCCTACACAGGAACAAAAAAAAGAAGACGTGACATATAATAATTACGACTTTGGTAATATGTAACTGATATCAAATAATAAATGTTCTTAATAAATGAATTTAATAAATGTTCTATTTAAAACAATACTTTTTTTTAAAAATTTTTTAAATTATTGTTATAAATTAATATATTAACATATTATTATAAAGTATAAATATAATTTGTTTATACAAATATTAATTTATATAACATATAATGAAACGACGCATAATATATAAATTTTAATTAATTTCTATTTAAAAATTGAAATATTCAAAAATAGATTATATTTTTAATAAAATTATAAAATAATACATTAATAATTTAGCTATAGTAGTATATCAATAAATATTATAAAATGTTACGATAAATAGAAAAATTTAATTAAATATATAATAAAATATTAGAATTTAATTAAAGAATCTATATAAATTTTAAAATCTATATAAATTGTATAAATCTATATATTGATTATTTTAACATCTAGTTAAAAATATATTATATTATATTATATTTTATATATATATATATATATATTTTATTATTACGGTATTTAGAAATAGCATTGATTCTTTAATTTTCATTATATCTTTATTCTTTTGTTATCATTTCTATATATATAATCACAAATAAGATACAATTGAATATATTTTTATTATTTCTCTTTCAAAATTATAATATTTTCTAATCTTTAATATAAAAAATATAAATATTACAGATTCTAAACAATATATCTTTCTGAAATGACGATCTCGCAAAATATAACATTCCTGATAACAAGATAACATATCCATAATATGTTTTAATAACATTAAAATATATTTCCATTAAATCTTATATATTTCTATATATCTATATATTTCTATCATTTTATATATATATATATCTATATATCTTATATATTTCTATCATTTTTTGCATAATATTCTTTTTCTTTTGATTTTTCTTTAAAACTTAAAAATAATAAATTTTAATAAATTTTAATAAATTTTAATTTCTAATATATAATTAATAATTCTAATAATTAATTATCGATAACATTTATTATATAACTTGTATTATTACTTTCAAAATAAAAGATGGCGTTTTAATAGTTTCGAAGACTTATATTTCATTCTCGATGTAAAAAGTAGTTTGATTATTGATTTCAATTTATTTACGTATATATGTATGTATATTTACGCATATTTATAGTTTTTTTAAAAATTGTGCTAAAAAATATATAATGTTTCTATAAAATGACAATCTTAATTCGTAATTTATATATAAGATACGTAACCTCTTTTTTATCATTTCCAAAAATACAACTTTTAAAAAATTATTCGCAAGTAGTAACACAATTAAAAATGAATGAAGCTATTTTATTTCACGAAGAAGGAAGTAAAAACTTTAAAATGTCATTTCGTTATGTTAATCCTGATTTAAATATCGATAGACAATTTAATTTTCAAAGGCAAGTGGATGAATCTATAAATTGTTTTATTCAAAGAATAAATAAAAATATTTATATATATCTAACAAAAAAAGTTTATAAAAAACAAAAAAAACACAAAGTTGAAAGTTCTATAGAAATACAAATGAATGATAAAATAAAATTTGTAAAAAATCATTCTATCCTTAATGGTGATTTAACATGTAAATCAATTTTAGAAAATAGTGCAGACATAAAATTAGTAATTTTTGATACAGAATATATATTGAAAAAAAATGTACCTTATATTTCAAAAATAGAATTACCAACAAGCATTTTAGTCGATTTTCCGATTTATCCCTCTAAATTTGAAGGAACGAATGTAGATAAAATAAATTCAATTTTTACTTGGTATAAAAAAGAAAACAAAAAATGGATACATGTAGGAGAAGGTTTCTTGTATGTTCCAACTATATCTGATATAGGATGTCAATTAAAGATATCATGCATACCAAGAAATAATATGGAATATGGACCTCTGATTGAAATTATATCAAATAATGTCGTTCAAGTTGGACCTGGTTTATGTCCTTTTGATGCTAGACATGCTTTTACTAAAAATAAATTATATAATAAAAGGTTAATATTAATATTCATTTTATTTATTTAAAAATGTATTATATAATTATTAAAACAAAATTTTAGTTTCAGAGTAACTTCATATAACATATTAGCAAATGTATATTCAGAAACTTCTGTTTCGAAAGATACATTGTATCCATATTGTCCACATTATGCTTTATCTATGGATTATAGAAAATTACTAATTATTAAAGAATTAATAGGTATTATTTTTCTTTCTTTTAACTTTTTGATGTACAATAAATATTTCATTGTATAAATTAAATAATATATTTTGGATATTTTGAATTTTTATAGGATATAACAGTGACATAATATGTCTTCAAGAAGTAGATGCTACAATTTATGAAAATGATTTACAATTGTCATTAACTGCATTAAATTATAATAGTGTATATAATTTAAAGAATGATTTGAAAGAAGGCCTTGCTATATTTTATAATCGGGAAAGATTTGATAAATTATCTCATAATTATAGTATTATTTCTCAAGGTATAAATTTAAATGAATTTAATACTGTTTGGTCACAAATTCAGAATGATAGTATAAAACAAACATTCTCAAACAGAAATACAATTATTCAGGTATCCGAATAAAAAAAAGATTATTAATTTTTTTTATTATATAATACAATATAATATTTAATATTTCAATATAATTAATTAAAATATACATGATATATTACAGTCAATAGTACTTCGATCTAAAGAAAATGATGAAATCTTAATTGTTGGTAATACACATTTATATTTTCGGTTAAAAGCAAATCACATACGTTTATTACAAGCATATTATGGTTTATTATATTTACATACATTTTCTAAAAAAATAAAAAAAGAGGTATTTATGGAAAATTTTAATGAATTAAAAATTTTGAAATGTTCAATATAAATTTACTATTAAAAATATAACATTATTTTTAATTATATATAAAAAATTTACAGAATCCTGAATGCAATGTCAGTATTTTATATTGCGGTGATTTTAATAGTATACCACAAAGTGCAGTTTACCAATTAATGACCCAAAATTATGTATCAGATGATCATAGTGATTGGATATCTGGTCAGTTTTATTATTTTTCTTTTATATAATAATTTATATAAAAATCATGTATAAAAATGAATAAACATATTTTTTATTATCATTATAGATCCTCAAGAACATATGCAAAATATATCTATTAAACATGATTTGAATTTGGCTAGTGCATGTGGTATTCCAAAATATACAAATTATACTGCTACCTTTTCTGGTTGTTTAGATTATATATTTTATCAAACAGATTATTTGGCAGTTGAACAAGTTATACCAATGCCGAGTGAAAAAGAACTTAGTACATATACAGGTCTTCCATCTATAGTATTTCCAAGTGATCATATAGCATTGTGTGTCGACTTAAAATGGTTAAGATAAAAATATATATCATCAAAATTGACATTTATAAATTTATTTAAAAAATGTATGTTTTCACATTTTTATCACTTTTTTCTAAGGGATTTAATCTAACTATATATGATTCAAAATATATTATTTTTAATTACTATTAATTTATTAAATAATAATTTCAACTTTCTATATAGAATTTTTATAAAACGTATACAATAAAATTATTTTTCCATGTTTTTCAAAATAGTATTTGTAATCTAAGTTGTTAGATACATAATTAGCAAATAGTTAAAAAATAATCTTTATATCCTATTCTAAAATAAGAAATGAAAATCTTAATTATGCTACAATTCACTTAATGTATATAAATGAATAAATGTTGTCGAAGAAATGTTGTTTGCGCATTTACATTTATATTCTAGAAAGTTCTCACATCCATATGGTATTATCACATTAATTTTTTAATTTATAATTATGAAAGTATACATTCACATTTTAATATGAAGTTGCAATAGTATATTATTATATATGAAGGAACAGTGATAATTTACAAAATTTTTTACATAGATTATTGTAATAATTCTTTTTTAGTTAATAAAGATCTGCAGGAATAAAAGAAATACGATTCGGTAGAATCGATTAACTTTCCAAAAGTATATGTTCTCATTGTCTTAATATATTAATTATTCATTCTTAATAAAGAGTTCTTATAAATATATTTTTTTAAATTTTATATTAAAAATTCACTCATCAAATTATTCCATAAATAATAAATGTATATCATTATGTATATATATAAAAGACCAATATATAAATTAGTATACCTTAAACTTTAGTTTTATATTCTTTTTCTTAAATTAAAAATTACATTTATCATTACATTTAATAAAATATATTTCTTAATAACATTCATTGTCTGCAGATCTTCTCTTTGTTTAAGAAAAGAATTTTCTATTTATTCCATATATCTATTATCTTCTAAAGACAGAATTTCTGTTGTGCACTCTGCTCCAACAATCACGAAGTTGTAAAGAAAAATACTATTTTATATATATATATATATATATTACCATCTTCAATATATATATATATATTATCATCTTCAATATATATTGAGAATTATTATCTATTAATCGTCTTACTTTGTTTATAATTCATTTAAATTTTCTTTCAATTTAAAAAGTAAAATAATGCTTTTATTTTACTTTAACAAGTTAAGCGTCAAAAATTATCCTGTTTATTAATTTTTACAGATAATAACAAAGAATAATTAAATATTTGCTGCATATACTTAAATAAAGCAATAGTCATTTGATTTTGCTGTATTGAATCTATTGAAATACGAATCGATACACGAGTAGATATACATAAATATTTTTCAATAATTGAATTATATTAATAAATAAATGTTCAAAAGATAATTTTGTTTCCATATTTTAATAAAGTATCTAGAAATATATTAAAAATAATTTTTCAGCTTGTATTGGTCAAGATGCTTAATAATAGAAGATTTTTATAAAACAAAAAAATAATTATCTTCATATATGAAAATTTGCAGATGCATTGCTGTTATTTTGTAACACCTGTATAATCTGAAATGACACTTAACGATTTTGTTATAGTAACAAAATTTTTTTTTGTAAAAATGTAATACTATATGAATTTACATATTTGTAATTAGCATTTGCACTGTTTAAGATCACATTCCCCTTCGCGGAGCGCTCGGAACCAATAACTGTAAAGCGGTCATCGCATCCGGAAACAGCGAATGATAATTTACAACTGGCACGTAAGCGGCTGTAATTACTCGGCCAGCAAACCATCTACCATGTAATGAATTGACAGCTGCAACTGCTGTTCCTATTGATGGACATTTAACATAAACATTACCCTGAGGGGAGGCTTGGTCCACATACACGTGTAACACACCACCGTGTTTATTACATTCTTCGATAACATCATCACGAATTTCCTTTGCCCAATTTGGATTCGTTTCACTGAAATGAAAAATTATTTTATTGAAGTTATTTTCACAATTATTATTAAGCATTATTTAATTATTTAATAAAATGTTATGTTATCATTTTTTAACATACATATAATGATATGTATGAAATCTTTTTAAGATAACATAGTTTATTTAGCATATTCATTCCCTCCAGTAGAATAAAAAATAATTACTACTGGGTCTACAGATATGCCTCTTTTAATACTTAGAATACCAAGCAGCGTAATTTCTTTTATAATTGAATATTTTGCAGTAACTTTTTTATAAATTTCTTTTTATGTTTTAATATTTTTTATAATTAATATAAAAGTATTTTTAATAAAATTGTTAAATATTAATTTATACTTTTAAAAATTTTAGATATATTCAGAATGATAAATTTAAAAATAATTTAGTTTTAACAAATTTGTGAATCTAGTGACCCCACTTAGAATTCTAAGTTAAATTGTTTATTCCTAGTTAATTCCTAGTTAATTCCTAGTTAATTCCTAGTTAACTTAAGTCTAATTAAATTAATCTTAATTAAATTAATACTAAGTTAAAAAAATATTATGTTATCATTTTTGAATATACATATAATATGATATATATATGACATCTTGTTTTTAGATAACATAGTTTATTTAGCATATTCAATCCCCTCAGTGAAAAGAAAAGTAATTATCACTGGGCCTATAAATATGCTTTGATCGTTTAATCTTTAGAATACCAAATTTGCTTTTTCCACGTTTAAATATTTTTTTTTTTTCTAAAATTTATAATAAATTTTAATATTCAAAAATATTTATATTTTATATTTAAATATTTATTTTAATATAGTAATATTTAAAATATTTTGGATACATCCAAAATATTAAATTTTATAAAAATTATAAGATTCTAGAATCTTTATTTGGAAATCTAAAAATTAAAAAAATGTTATTATTTCTAAAGTAATATATATGAAATTTTTTTATAATTTATTCCATCTCAATATAAATAAAATTAACTAATTTAGATATAGATATATATAACATAAGTATATAATATACTTATCCCTAAAATCTCTTCTTATGTCTACTTAACTTAAAAAAATAATAGCTTACTTTTGTGGATCGAACATATTCGATAACATAAAACACTGTGTTGCTATAGGAGGAGCAACCTGTGGAGGTGGTTGTGGCGTTGACATAACTGGAGCCATATTTAATGCATTTGCAGCTGCAGGAGGAATTTCAAGTCCTGTTCCTTCTGCTAACTTAAACATTAGTTGTAACCTAAACATTTTTAAACATTAATTATATATAACTTAATTAAATATATAAAAAAATTAATATTATCGTACCTTCCAGTAGCACCAAGTTCGATACCACTTCGATCTAATTCGTCTGTATCCAAAAGAGACGGACCTTGTATTAAATCTGTACGTTCTGTAACATTACCAACTTTCATAGGTCTTCCAGCAAGTTCAAAACCATTTAACTGTTCCAATGCTTTCTTTGCATCATCGGCATTTCTAAACTATAATAATAATAAACATATTTTAATAAACATATGAATATATTGAATTTAATAATAGTGTATATATATATATACAGTCAAAAATCCATAGCCTTTGCTTCGTCCAGTTTCGGATCCATAATTAACTGAATATTGTCAATTTTTCCAAAAGGCTCGAAAATACCACGAAGCATATCTTCTGTGATATTAAAATGAAGAGATCCAACATATAATCTCATGGGTCCAGTTTGTCCTTTTGGCATTAGATTTGGCATGGAATTACCCATACGATTTTTCTCGGCTTGAGTATGTTGTACTACTATAGGAACACCAAGAAGCTTTTGACCTGACAAACCAAGTGCCTGTGAAAAAAAAAATTTAATAATTAATAATATATTTAATATCAAATATAAATTATATTTCAACTTACCAATGTAACACTTTCAGGGTCTTTGAATTCCACATATGCTATACCTTTAAATCTTCTTGTCTTATTACATGTTATAAGTCGGACATCTTGAACTTTCCCAACACTGGAAAAGAATTCTTCTAAATCTCGAGCACGTATGCGCTGACTTAGTTGCATACAGAAAACAGTTCGGGCATCTCGTTCCTCTGGTGTTAATTCATCATTTCTGCTAAAATAAATATAAAATATAAAAATTAAAAATATATTAACATTTTTAAAATTTACTTATTATATTATATAAAGGTTTTTATAGAATAATAGTCTTGAAATTGTTGCAGATAGATTCATGTTTAGATTACAACGTTCATTGACATTTTTGTGTTATTTTTGAAATTGTATAATATAACTATATTGTGTTTTGTTGTTGACTTTATTTTTCTTCAAGAATTGATATTTGACTTGTAACTGTTATCAAATAATGAATGCAAATTTTCGAATTTTTTTTTATGTTATGTTTATATGTTTGTGAATGTGAATATGAAATGAATATGATATATCTGAATCTGAATCTGTATCTGGATTTGAATTTGTTCAAAAAAGAAAATGTTGATACTTTTGCCTCTCTTATTCTTGGATCCATTGTGTCAAGAGAAGAGGAACAGAGATCCATTGTACAAAAGTATTGAATCTGTGAATTTTCTTGAGATTTGAAATTGAGGTTGAAAGTTTTAATAGATATACTTATTATTGGGCTTAGTCTGATCAATTATTAACAATATTCATTTCATTAAGTCCAAGATTTATGACATGGTCTTTACTATTGAATCTTGAAAATAATTTATGACTTTAAAACTATATGCATAATTGATTAATTAAAATTATCTATTTGGACCTTTAATGAAAATTTAAAAAAAATGAATTTTCTTAAAAATAGCGATATTATTGATCGTGTCATAAATTTGTATGATATACAATTCTTAATATAATAAATTTTTATATTAAAATATTATACTTTTAGAATGAATTATTCTTATATCATTTTATATATTCAATAAAATCACTCAGACTTACATGCCAAGGGGACTGACGCCTTTTCCAAATGGTAATCTTGCTCTAGGAAGTGTAATTGGTGTGAGAGATCGTTTTCTTCTTCTGTCTCGATCTCGATCTCTGTCCCGACGATCCCTATCTCTATCACTATTGTCTCTGTCTCTATCACGGTCTCTCCGATCTCTTGATCTTGATCTACGTCGACGATCACGATCGCGATCACGATCTCTATCCCTATCGCGATCTCTTTCTCTATCTCTATCTCGGTCGCGATCGCGACGATCTTTCTCTCGACGATCTCGTGATCGAGAACGGGAACGAGAACGATGCTTGCTCTTCCTATAAAGAAAAAAATAATAATTTAAATTAAAATATTTTTTAATAAAATTTATACAAATAGTTTATAATTTATAATATATGCATTTGATATGCTTATTTGAATATATAATAAATGAATTTTGATTATTTTAAGTTTATTTTGTATAATGTAATATTTTAAATCGTAGAATTTAACTTACTAATCCGAACCCTTAGGAAATTTGTTCAAAATTTTTATTAGTTTATGATTTTTAATGATTTGATAAATAAATAATGAAGAAACAAAGAAGTATATACAGCTAATATTAATAACTATTTATTAAATGATATAATTAAAGGTACGCATTTAATAAAAACAAATAATTAACATATTATAAGAATTAATTTTATTATATTAATAATATTTAATAAATATTTATCATTTATTTCATATTTTAACCTTTCTTATTTTGTTTATTATTGTGTTTTTCTTGGTTACATTTTCAATTTTTAACAGAATCTGTATTACAGATATTCTTCCTAAACACTTACCATCTTCAGGTCTAACCTTTGGAATTATGAAAATAACCAGCATTTACACTAATTGTATGGGGTCTATAACAAAGAGAATATAACTTCAAACAGCTATATGTACGTACCAAATGACTATAGTTTGAAATATTCATAGACAATTGAATATATATTTCAATCTATAAAGCTAAAGGTTCAGACAAAGTAGTTTATTTATAAAAATTTAAAATTTTAATATATTATAAATACCATTCTACATAAGAGAATTAGATCAGAATTTAATATTATAATATTGTAAAAAATCATTATATTATAATCATTATAAAAAATATTTTTGTAACTAGAAACATTTTCTATTAAAAACAATTTTTAAAAAAAGTTTAATTTAAAACAAAAGCTTAAAGAAATTCAATCCACTTTTTTAATTAATTTTTTTTATAATTTTTCTTAAATCTTTATTTTTTAGAGTACTGTTTAAAATATCTACTATGATAGTATTGTATACTAATATAGAAAATTAACAATATATAGAATAAATAAAATAAAATAATCAAAACTTAACTTATTTTTTTTATGTTTGTTACTAGTTACTGTTATTTTCATTTAAATTATATATGAATAAATAATCTTGAAATTCATTTGCTTATTATTTCTTAATCAAAATTTTTTATATTTTGGATATTAAAAAAAAAAAAATCAAACTAATATATGAAAATCTAATAGAAATAACAAGAAATAATCAGAATGGACATATATGAACAATTAGCAATAAATTAAAAGAGATAAATTTAAACACAAATTATCAGTTTTCTATTAAATTACTTTCTATTAAATTATTAAATGATGAATAATATTATTTGTTGCTATTTGTACTAGTTTATAAAGAAGAAAAGAAGATAAAATTAATTTTAGAATTAGAACCAAAAATATTTTTTTATGTAAAAATTATGTATGTTTTTAAATCATATAATGATCTATTGGACACAATGTTGATAGTAAATACAAATCATTTATATTAATTATAATACTTAAAATATACTTACCCAGATGATTTACGGCTAGACCCATTTTCCTTGGATGATTTGTCTTTGGTTGAGGAGTCCTGCTCCTACGAACAGCAAACAGTTGAATGCCATGCCAGCCAGCCGATGTGGCAGGGACGCGCGAACAAGGGGACAAAAAGCAAATCATAGAACGTTAGTAAATTTTATAAAGATAAACTGTGTACATATTGTACAATTTAAATTTTAACAGTAGTTTCAAAATAAAATATATCAATAATGAATTATGTTCTGTCTTCTGTTAATTTAAAAAAATTTTTTAATTTTGTAACCATGTAGATAACTCTCCATTGAACACTGTTATCGAAGATCTATTTGCTGCTGGATGATGGTGCACTCTCGTGCTCTTTCTCTTTTTCCAGGTTGATTATATTGGTCTGAGGGGGCTGAGATGAGGACACAGAGAAGAGAGAAGAGAGAAGAGAAAAAGAGAGAGATAAAGAGAGAGAGAGAGAGAGAGAGAGAGAAGAGAGAGAGAACAGACAGAGAGAGACAGACAGAGACGGGGCGAGCATAGTGTTGCGACGCCTCGCATACACCTGGCTCAAACTTACCAATCGTTTTATCGGGTTTTAGGAAAGCATTGCAATCTTGGGTTGAGCATGCCTTGGTCTTTAAACTACCAATGGCCAACCACACATCCTTTTTCTTCTGTAAAAGAGAGCCCTCATCAAAGACAGTACGTTTTTAATGTAACACGAGATGTGAACCCTAATTGCTAACCTATAGCCCCTGAATGTATAATTGATTTGAATTGTCTCATAATAGGAATAAAACGATCAACGATCATTTGCAGCTTCCAGTAGATATATCACAAGATGATTTAGCTGTATAGAGAAAATGTTTCACATAATTAAAAGCGAACATACACATGGTATATGGCATTAATACAATGAAATGATGATAATGGTGTTACATGTATATGTTACTGATGTTCTTTCAATCTATCATTAATAAAACCGATCCCCTAAATTTGTCAATCTCCCATAATTTTAACCATAATTTTAAAACATTTTCTCATTTGAATCATATAATTTATTCCTGCTTGCCAATTTACCATGCATTTTGTTTATGAAATATTAATAATATACTTTCAAATTTGAAATAAAATACAATATGTTGTCAAAAAATGATAAGCATTACAAGAAACAACACTCTATATATTATCATTCTTAATTTATAATTATAATTATATAATTAGAAATAAAAGTCCACTTTGTGAATAAAAAAATAGATTTTAACAATTTTAATATTATTTCTTAATATATATTTTACATGCTAAAAAATATATTCAATTTTAATTTGTTAAATAAATCTGATTATATATTCCTATTTGTAAAAAAATGTGGAACTTTTAATAAAAATTATATTTCATTTTTTATATTATATATATATATATTGCAGTTTAAAAATACTACAAATATTTATATTAATTAATATATAATTCGTTACATATTGTCTTTTTAATTATTCATAATTAATTATATTAATATATAATTCTATACAAAAGGAGAATCAACATATAATTACAAGAAAGATATATAAATAAATTTCCTATGAATTGAAAGAAAACAAAACTAATGTGGGAGTGCTAGAGATTTTGAAATCCGACAAATACTTTTATTGTACCTAACAATGCAATAGCAAAAAATTATAGTAGAAATCAATAGGAATTATGCCCTTCTATCGCAAAAGATATTATAGACAATGATTCTATTGATTCTACATACAAAAGGTATTCGATACTTATACAAACCAGTTATTTCATTTTTCCACATATAATAAAAATTAATAGAATAGCATGGCACATGGCAGAACAGCACCTAATATATCCATCTTTCATATTTATTTTCTTCTTTTCTTTTTATATAAATTAATTAAGAATATTCGTTTTGCATACATATCTTTTGTCTCTTTATAATTGTGATATGGTGGCAATAGCAATTCTATCTACGTCGTAAATAATAAACGTTACGATTTTGAAAAAGAATTAAAAAAAATCAGAAATAAATAAAGAAAAAAGAATTAAGTAAAAATGATGTTAGTGATGGCTTTTCTTAATACCTCGTATTTCAAGTGCATTCTAGGAACTCGCTGCCGAACATCCTACGAGCGCGAGGGTACATGTTACGTACCATCTATAAGTACAGAAAACGGAGGTATTGATCAATAGTCGGTATGAGACAAGGACGTACTTTGTTCTACATGTATATACGGAAAGGAAAGGACGATTCATTTTTCTCGATCGCAATACAAAAGAACATATCTAAAACGGTACGCACCGTATTGGATTCTTGTGCGTCGAGATTAGGTAAACTTTATAGGATAAAAAAAAAAATCAGGATCTCGAAGGAGCAAACCGAGACACACAGAAAGAGAGAGAAAAAAAAATTAAGCCTTACCCCCTTCTTATATGGCGCCTCCAGCATTGCCTCGACATCCAAATCCTCCGCCATTGCGCGAGTCGGAGAGCTTTCTGAAATACCACGCATTAGCACTCGATAATCCAAAATACGGTGGACGAAATGAAAACTCTATGAAGATATTATATAACGTACAGACTAACGAACGCTCGTATACAATTTAAATGTTTCACAATTACTAAAAACGCAAGATCGATAACAAACGTGACTGAACAAGAACGCAATTATATGCGATGATGACGAAAAGAAAATGGAAGACCGGATATGAATACTCGAATCAAATATCATCCTTACTTAGTAGTTACTTTATTTTCTATCCGGTTTTCAAATTTTCATCTATAATTTTCAAAAATATTCTAAGACTTTTTGTTAATATTTAATTAATTTTTATTAATAATTTATATAAATTAATATTATTAATTGTTTAATTAACTGTTGTTGTTGAAATATTTTCAAATATTATTTCTTAAAAAAAACATTATGAATATTACTATAAATAAAATTTAACAACATTTTTTATATTATAAATGGATATTATTTGTAAAAAATTTTCGTAAAATATTTATCTTAGTTAATTGTAATATAACATGTTTATGTATATAAATATACAAATACATAAAATTCATAAAGTTCATTTATAATATTAAAATTTTTTTTTATATAATTAATAATAATTTGATATTTTTTGTTTTAATAACGAGTAAAAGCTTTCACAAAAAAATCATACAATTAAATTTTGAGCGAACTCTGTCGGAGAAATATAGAAATATATTCTTTACTCTTGCAAATCTTCTCAAAATCAGATTTAACTGTGCTTAGACATACATGTATGACGTAACAGTTTGGCGCAGTTTGCCTAGTGGCCATTTTGTTTTCAATCGCACGGCTGACTAAGGTATTTTATATAAAAATATTTCGTGTAATTATAAGCTATTTAGGTAACTGTAATATAGTCGATGTCATATTTAAGAAAGTTCTTATAGAAACTTTACTTATATTTTTATGGAAATTAATTTATATAATAATTGAAGATCATATTTAATTATGGATAAAGGTTTTCTATCAAATTCTATGTCCTTTATCTTTTTATGCTTCTTTGTTTTCTTTTTATTGCTTATGTCGATGAAAATTTTAAAATATTTTAATACATAATGAAAAAAAAAATGAAGCTAATTTTACTAATTTTTTTTATTACAATATCAAAATAAAAAATACATGTTACGTTTAATTGTAAATTAATGTTATTAAATTTTTTGAAATTTTCAATTTCTTTGAAAATATATTCTATATTAATTTTTATCATATTAACATATCAAATATTAATTCATATATCTTTCAGAATTTTAATATAGGTATTATTACAAATTTAAATTATTATACAATGCAACTGATTTAAATTCTAATCTCATGAATAAGAATATTATAAACATTATTATAACAAAATATAGAAATTATAGAATTATATAACAATATAAAATATAAAATTATTTTATAAAAATAGGTTATTATTAGAAATTAGTATTTATATAATAAAATATTAAAATATGTTTAAATAAGAATACAATCAAAGCTAGATAATATATTTTATGATATAATAATTGATTAGATAAAGTTTATAATTCAAGCGTAATTCAAGATAAAATCATAGCTTTGATTGAATTTTATTTATGTTAATGGCAATTAAAATACATTTTGTTCTCTCGCTATAAGTCTGCTTGTCTCTTGCAAACGCGTACATTAAATACCAATCAGATAAAGGCTTGGTAAGAAGAAATGGACAGTGTACTTATAGAAGGCAGTTCTATCCTTATAGGTGTCCATCTATCCATTCAGCCTGGTGAGAGAGGCACACAAGCGCAACAATGGATTCAAAGCGGCATGAACGCAGTTCCAAGTCCAATACAGATTCACCACCAGCTCCGCCTTCGCCTCCTATGTATAGTGCAAGTTATACAACATATGATGGGTACAAAAACAGAATGTCATCACGTCGTTCACCTTCACCTTCGGATTATAGAAGCAGTAGAACATCCCGAAATGATTCGCCACAGGACAGGCGTAGAAGAAGACGCAGTGCTTCAAAATCTCCACCAAGTAGATCACACAGACGATCTCGTTCTCCTGATAGAGACAAAGATCGAGATAGAGATAGAGATCGATCACGAAAATATTCTAGAAGAGATAGATCAAGATCTAGATCAAGAGGAAGATCACGTTCTAGAGATAGGAGACGTAGTCGTAGTCGTAATAGAAGTAAAGATAGACATAGAGGCAGAGAAAGCCGTAGATATCATAGAGCACCATCATATGAATCGGATATTGCTGAAGATAATACAGAAACAACTATATCTCATCCAGTTGTTCCTCCACAATCTAATGCTTTTAAAAATGATGGTAGCTTTATGGAAATGTTTAAAAAAATGCAGGAACAAATGCAACCTGCACAAAAACCAATGACTTCTGTTTTGGAAGAAAAAACTGTTATTCCTCCACCTTTAATGGTAGGAAAGAGGCGAGGAGGCAGAATTTTAAAAACTGGAATGGTTGCTAAGCCAAAGACTGAACAAACTGTTGAACAACCTAAGGATGCCTGGTCACTCTACATGGCTGAAGTGAAAAAATATAGAGAAGTTTGTTGTCAGGAAGAAGACAACACAAGACCATTGGTTAAATAGCTGATTTTAGTTCTATTTCCTATTTTGTTACTTTGTTTTATCTACAATGAATGTGCTTTCAAAAGATGCTGTGTTTTTTTAATTAAATTATGGTTGCATTTAAATATAGAAGAACAGCTATCAACCAAGTTTAAATAAGTCATCCACTTGTATTAAAATTATTTAAGTTTGAGAAAGCTTTGAAGTACATCTATTCATTATTTAACAAGAAAAATCTCTGTAAAAACATATACAAACAAAATTTTTTCTTTTTTTCAATTATTAGATAGAATGTACAGTATATATTAATGAAAAATTATAGATATATATAGTATCAAATTATTAAATATTTCAACTTAAAGAATATTATTAATATAATATGGATTGCAAGTGAAGAAGTAATTAATGTTTGTGATAGTGTATTAAGTGATGCAAGAGACAAAAGGACTAGAGCGAGAGACAAACATGTAAAAAGTTTGCCTTGTGGGAAAAAGGGAGGGTGACTGTTTGTAGCGCTTTCAATAAATATAATAGATTAAATAACTTGTAACTTGTTAAGCAGCATCAATATGGTTAAATATACAGAACTTGGAAATGCGACATTAGTAACTCCCTCCATCGAATTGAAACCAAACACAGCACCATATGATCCAAGATTTCCAAATCAAAACCAGACAAGGTAAACAAAGAACAAATTGATATTATATTCCAATATTTATAAACATTCAATATGATGTTATTTATTTCTGTTTATTTTAAATGCAGATATTGCTATACTAGTTTTTTGGATTTTCACCGTTGCAAAAAACGACATGGTGAAGATTATGAAGCATGTCAATATTTCAAAAAAGTATATAATGCAATGTGCCCAAATGCTTGGATAGAAAAATGGAATGAACAGATTGAAAACGGAGTGTTTCCAGGAAATATATAATACAAGAGGCATCAAATTATAACTGCCTCTATAGTGATATTGTTTACATAATAACAGGATTTTACAATTTTAAAATAATTCCTGTTTGTAAAATAATATTTAATAAATTGATTATAGTTTAATTCTTATTTAGTTTTATTAATTAATATTTTTTTTTATTTTTACTGCAACTGTTAAATACAAATAAAAATTTAAATATTACATTTTATTATTAAATTTTGTAAAAATGTAAATTAATATTTCTAATCCTTATCCTCAACATACAAAATAAATATATAATGTGAAGATCTATATAATTGTAGAAATCATAAATTTTATAGAATAATGAAATAGGAACTTTTATTACGGTACATTATCCTTTAACGGTACATTATCCTTTAACGGTATATTTTGTTTACGGTGATTAGAAGAATAAAAATTTGAAAATTTCAATAGATATAATGTCTTTCTTCTTTTTCTGTTTCACCTTTTAAATAAAAGATGATAAAATTAGATACAATTCTTTCATATACAATTTGCGTTTATGAAATAGAAAAGAACAAATTAAATGTATATAGAAATATTATTAACATTATTTTTAAAATTTTAATATTGTTAAAAATATTATAAAACTTGTATATAAGATAATTTTCATCTAAGAGATTTTGAAAATAGTAGTCATGATTCGCATGGTATCATTATTTGATGTTATATATAATGCTATTGTATGAATTGAATCACGGCTATTGCTTTTAAAGTTTCTAATAAGAGAATGATTCTGTAAAAAAAATTTATATATACTATAGATAAAATATAAAATTTTTATTTCTCATTAACTAAACACATTAATTAAACTTCGTAGATGTATTTTATTATTTATAAAAAATAATATATAAAAAAAGATATAAATATTATACTTTTCTGTTAAAATAAATAAGCATGTGATAAAATATATTGATCACGGAAGAATCTACATGAATTTTAAAATAAATAGTATCAATGAATCAAACTATTATGTATAATTTTAATAAAAGGCCATAAATAATACTCTAAATAAGTTTAAAGAAATTTTTTTAAACAGATTTTAATCTAAAATTTAAAAGATTTTTATAAATTCATTTTTATTTATATTAAAAGATATCACTATTTAACGTTGTAGTATCTATTTCATTATTTATGAAATCGGAAACAAAACTTCGTCTGTATGAGACTATTATATACATACTATTATAATTTATATTATTTACGAATTTTTTTATTATCTGAAATAGTTTAAATAAATCTTTCCTTTCTTTTCTCTTCCTATAAAAATTTGAAAATTTCAATAGATTTAATGGTTTTCTTCTTATTTTCTTCATAATTTATAAAGGATAATAAAATCAGGTATAATTTTTTTGTATATAAATAAAGTTCATTTATAAAATAGAAAAAGTAAGTGAAAGACAAATGTATATAGAAATATTAAAAATTTTATTAACATTATTATTTTTAAAATAATAATAATTTGATATTAATATAAAAAAATTCATACAAAATAATTCTCTCGTAAGAGACATTATTCGAAAGCAATAACATGATAGTATTATTATTTGATGTCACTATGTTTAATATTATGTGAATTAAATCCTGATTGTTGTTTTTAAAGTCTTTAATAAAAGAATGATCATGTAAAATATAGAATTTTTATTCTATTAATTAAACACATTGATTAAAC